TACTTTTCAGGCTCACTTCTCAGGCTCCTCCCAAATTCTGGGCCTCTCCTCTGTACCCAGGTCCCCTTGGGCTTTTGGAGACCTAAGAATAACCCCCTAACTTAACCCAATCCCTAAGGCTGGCAAAGACTGGTCCTAAACCCTGTCTTCCCAAACACCCTCCCCTATGCCCTACCAGGGCAGCCCTGGGAAGGAAAAGGGTTTCCATCTTTAAAACAAAACAAAGCAAAGCAAAACAAAAGCATAAAAAACAAACAAAAACCCCACCAGTTCAGTGCATACCCCAGGCCAGAGGCTCAGGTAGAAGCTCCCTGGTTACATTGGCTCTGATGGATGCACCATCTACTGGCTACAGGTGATTTTTTTTTTTAACAAACCTTATTTAAATAAAATCTAAATGCATCATAGACTAGAAAATGTGTACTCATAGAGAAAACTTATCAAGTCCAAATAAAGTCTGGCATTTAGTTAAGAGTAATGCATGAGGCTCACTTCTTGGTTTGGACAAATGGACTCGGCTGTGATGGACATTCATAGGGGAAACTGAATGGAAGATATACCAGGCAACCTTAGACTGTAGCTCAGTGGTAGGGGGCTTGCCTAGCTTACATGAAGCCTTAGGTCCCATCCCCACTGCTACCATCATCTTCTTCAAAAATTAATTTGAAAAGAAAGGCTGTACGGGGATTTTTCTGTGCTATTTTTTCTACTTGTTTGTAAGCATAAAATTGCTCTGAAAGATTTTTGAAGTTATTAAATTAAGTAAGCTAAAATTTTAGGGTTTTTTCACACTGCACATATGAAGAGCACAAATGGCCAGTGGCCTTGGTATTGAGCACAAGATACAGATTCTGTTCATGGTCCTCACAAGCCCTACAGGGAGGGATAGCCATTCTCTCTGCTGTCCCTCATCCTACAAGTGACTCAGACATGACACTTAAAGAAGGCCATTCCTTACTCCATTTTCCTCCCCTATGTCTGATACAGTTTTTCTCTCCACAAACCAATCCTTCCACAATGCATGCTAAAGCAGCCCAGAGAGGGACTTTGATGTCACCAGCAGTCACTGAAAGGCTCTCAGGAGTTCTGTTGTGGTCTGAATGGCTTTTCATTTAGAAAGCCTG